TTAGTAATAAACAATTAGAACAAGATAGGTCATTGAGAATAAACTAAAATATTTTTATAACGAAATACGATACTTGTGACTCGCCGGAAATTAGTGTACGCGTTTCTGTGCAGGAGTTAAGTAGTGACCCTTCTTTATAATTCCATATTATTCACATATTAGACGTCTTTACACAAACATACATACCCCGAGATCCCTTTCTATTTCATTTTATTGTAGCCACTTTTACATTCCATTGCTGCCCATCCTTTTTACCAGGGCCGGATTTGATGGAGGGTTTTAAGGGCACTTGCCCCGGGCAGCAGATGTTTGGGGGCATCCGGATGTCGAATACTATAAAAATTTTTTTTAAACTTTTATGAAAAAATCAACTTTAAAAATAAATATTGTTTTGTATTTATATAATTTGGGCTGCAAAATTAATGATAACACATGATAACAGAACGACATTGGGACATACAGCCAACACAATATAATACTTTANGACATTGGGGCATACAGCCAACACAATATAATACTTTAGTAAATTGGTATATACGTTCGAGTGATTATGTCATTTATTATTAAACAGCGTGGTGGTAGTGCCCGGAACCCCCGGATTTGATAAGACGTGACTTTGACTTCAACGAATCGCGATACCATATTATAATAGCCATTAGTGTAGGCCGTCCGTCGTTGTGTTATTTTGTTTTCTTAGTTATCCTTTTTATTATAAACAAACTTGAAATAAACACGTTTTAGGTAGATAGTTATAAAGTGCAAGTTTGGAAATTTTAAAACTTTTATCCTTAACTACTTCGATAATGAGTATATTTTAATTATTTTACTGTAAAGGGCCTCAAAAAAAAAATTTGCCCCGGGCATCCAAAAGTCTAAATTCGGCCCAGCTTTTTACACTACGCCTGCTACGATTATTATTTCCTCATTGGCCATCTGTGTTACATTTCTTTACATTTATTTCTTTTCACACCTAACAACAATCCCCCTGCCAAATACTACCAACTACCATTTTACTTCTTTTTGTTTATTACACATGTGGAGTCCCAACTGTGTGGGTTTTTTTTTGTTTATGAATAATAAATATATATATTTTAAAATTACTATTATCATGGTTCAGTGGACAAAGTACAGCAAAAGTGCCAGGGACCAGATCAATAGCATTAAAATTTATAAAATATTACTATTAAAAATTTTTATTTGTATGTTTATACTAAGAACAATTTTAATAAATGTTAATTATAAAAAATTTTTGCTGAGTCCACAGGGAGGTCGCGGCATACTGGAGACGTTGCATAGTTGGGTCCAGTATAGATTTAATCTGACAGTGATTAAAATCACTATCATAAGAAACGCTTCGATGCATATCTGTAGATAGTGTTTAATTCTAAGAAATTGATGAATAATTACAAAAGCAACATTATCCATAATATTAAAATAGCATATTTTTGAATACGGTAGCCATTTTCGCATAGAAGATAGGTCGTCGAGACAAATTTTTTTTTTCCAATTTATAATAAATAAAATAAGCTTTAATTTGATATATGTTTAAAGGACGCAGTATTTCTGGAACACTTTCAAAAGTTAAGTTGAAAAAGTTCTATTTTTTATACAATATTTCAAGTTTTGAACGCCCCCTATATATAGGGAAATTGTCCAATTTTAATAAAAAGTATGTCAAATGAAAGATGTACTTTTATTGTATTTCGAAAAAAAAAATTTGTGCTGATACATACATTTTTCGAAAAGTTATAGCACTTTTAAGTTGAAAATTTAAAATCGATAAACGAAAATTTTAACACAAAAATAGCGTTTTTTTAACTACGGCAGCCGTTTACATACAGAAGATAAAGTGTCGGGACAAATTTTTTTTTTTCATTTTGTAGCACATAAAATAGGCTTTAATTTGATATATGTTTAAAGGACGCAGTGTTTCCGGAATATTTTCAAAAATTAAGTTGAAAAAGTTAGTTTTTGTAAAAAAGTTGCTATTTTAAATCTCCCCCAATGAGCAGGTTAAGTGTTAAATTTTCAAAAAAATGATATCAAATGAAAGGGAAATATCTAAGGTTTTAGTATAAAAAGAAATTATGTTTATTTTTGAAAAAGTTATGGAAGTTTTAAGAAAAAAAGTGAGAAAAATGATAAAATTTACCGATTTTTAAATTTGTAATTTTTTTGGATATTTCCCCCATTTTTGGGAAACGAGGGAATTTTTTTCAATTTTTCAGGGTCATGTCTCCAATTAGATACGATTTATGATCTTTTGACGTATTTTTGAAGGAAATCGGTCCAGTGAGAGCTGAGAAAAAGTGGCAACAGACATAAAAAAAAAAAAAAAAACACATCATAGTAAAATTAATACCTTCTCCGCTTCGCATCGAAGCTAAAAATGTTATTTTTTAGTAAAAATAATTCTTGTGGCAAAAATTTTTTACCAAAAGAATAAAAATCAATGACCATTACTAGTAGTACTAAGAAGACATTTAACATAAACTTATTGAGCACATTACAATTATTGACTTAATGAATCATTCTATCTTGCCATTCTACTTTACCAGCTTCGCTTATAAAGTAATTGGCAAACTGGTCCCTAATATATTACCTGATCTATTATAAACATCAATTGAGTCATTAAGACTTTCAAAACCATTAATACTTAATGTGTCTTCAAATCTAAATCCATCTCTATTCCTGACAAAATTATGCAATATACAACAAGCTTTAACAATTTTTATAGAAAATTCTACACTTGTGTTCATCGATCTATGAAAAATTCCCCATTTGTTAGAAAGTATTCCAAAAGTTGATTCTATATATCTTCTTGCTCGAGACAAGCGATAATTGAATACTTTTTTTTTCGTAATTCAAATTGCTTCGTGCATATGGTCTAAGTATGCTTTGAGATACACCAAAAGCTTCATCAGCTACTATTATAAACGGTAATGGATTTCATTGGCCGGGTAAGGGTTTTGGTAGTGGTACAAAAAGTTCTTTATCTTCTAGTTTTTTGTAAAATTTTGTTTTTTTTAAAAACTGTTGAATCACAACACTTTCCTTGAGCTCTCACATCAATAAAAGTAAAACAATAATTTGCATCACAAATAGCTATAAGAACTATTGAATAGTAATGTTTGTAATTATAAAAATCTGTTCCAATCTGGATTGGTTTAATTAAGCGAATATGTTTCCGTCCAAAGCGCCGATGCAATTTACAAAGTTAGCATTGTTTTCAAAACCCAAAGCAATTTCTTTACATTTTTGCTGATCCGGCAAAGGCATAATTTAAGATTTAAGTCCCCATAATTCACTGCATACATCTTCTATTATTTTACTAATAGTAGATAATCCCATTCTATAGGAGTAATGAAGGTCTGTGAATGAATTACCCGATGCTATGTATCTATAAATACGAGCTAATTAAAATATTACGTCAGTATTTATTCAAAAAAAGTTAGTATGATTTCTGAGTTATTACAAATACTGTTAGATTTTACCCACCTAATATCGTGTTTTAATAATAAAAATTTCAAAAAGTGAATTGTCAATTTAATAAATTTTATTAAATAAAAAAAATTACTTTTATTAAATCCTTAATATATTCCTATAGAAAAAACATCAATTCCTCGTCATTATATTGATAATTATTATGTAGTTATTATAAAATTAGCTCCTTCAATAATTTATTTTAAGTAATATTTATTACTTACCTTGTAACGTGACAAAAGTATCTATTTATTTTTTTTTGTCTATTTATATATATATATATTCGTGTTGAGCCGAATGCAGACTGCGACGGCGTTTGTCGGTAAAATTATCATGATAAGGTGTTGTGATTTGCTTATGCACGTGCGAGATAGTCAGCTGTGTACTACTTCAGACCGGTTCATGGACGGCATTTGTGTGTACATTCACCCCGCTCCTTTCCTATCTTGAACGTCATTTGCACTGCTCACCGCATACATTGTCGCCATATGATTTAAATTGTTTTTAATAATTTCCGGCACTGGGTATTTAGTTATTTTTTGACCCCTACTCTAAAGGCTAGCCGTTTGGTCGCCAACGGACCGCCGGGTCAANTCATATTTTCGTAGGATTTATGTTGCTCGAATACGTAAAAATCGCCTCTTTGCTGAATCCCTCTGCGTAGAATTTGAAGCTCTTCTAGCATTTGTTTAGTTGATGGTGGTTTTTCATCAGGTTCCTCTTCATCACTATCACCAGCCACATTCTCTTTTGGCCGTTTTGACTGTATTTCATCACATATATCTTCCTCGGTAACGAGTTCGGTAGTTTGGACTTCTTCGTCTATATTTATCCATTCATTATAAAGTTCAGTTGGTTAGGTCAGCGGGTCTTTCAACAACAGCTTCAACTTCTTTTGGACTGATAATGAAACCACCTTGTCGGAAACAATTGCGTATTGTGATTTTGCTGACGATATTCCACGCTTCATAGGCTAAATGCAAACCTTCAAGTACAGTTATTTTTTTAGCGATTTCATGAGCACGTAAGGTACATNCTGAGCACGTAAGGTACATAATTCGTGTTCCAGGTTAGCATCAATCACATTGAACACATTCTTTCTCATGCCTGTTCTGTAATATGCTTTAAAAGTGCGTATAATCCCCTGATCACATGGTTGTATAACTGATGTAGTGTTAGAGGGTAAAAATGTGAGGTTAATATGTTTGAATTTTACTGTAACCATATGAGCCGTGCAGTTATCGACTAGCAATAAGACGTCATGTCGAAGTTCATTGTCCCACTTGGTCAACCATTCGGTGANTCGAAGTTCATTGTACCACTTGGTCAACCATTCGGTGAAAATTTCTTTTGTCATCCATGCATTATTGTTTGCAGTATAGTCGACCGGTAGATTTTTAACACCCTTGAAACACCGGGGATTTTTACTTTTACCAATCACAAGCAGTTTTCTTTTTTCACCAACCATACTCGCACAACATAATATGGTTAGACGTTCTTTACTAATATTAGTTCCTCTAGTTTTTTTCATTTTTGAACGCGTACGTGTGTTCAGGTAATGCCCTGAAATAAAGACCAGTTTCATCTGCATTTAACACACTAGACGGAGGATATTTGGCGATAAGAGATGGCCATTCTGAATGAATCCACGATCGTGCAGCTGCATGGTCTGCTTCTCCCTGTTCTCCATGTGGCTTAACAAACGAAATGTTTTCACGATTCTTCCATCGGTGAAACCAACCTTCTGTTGCTACAAAATTATTTTTGTCCATTTTTTTCGCGAGTTCCTCAGCTTTTTGAAGCAACAGTGGTCCTGTAACTCGGGCATCTTTTTCTCTGACTTTTGTGAACCATTGTTTCAAAGCGTCTTCAACTTCTTCTTCTTTACCGACTCTTTTTCTTTTCCGGTTTGAATTCACATTTGCTAATGATGCATTTTCGATTTTCTGTCGACTTTTTAGCATCCTACCTAGTAAACTTTGAGACACGTTTAACTTACATGCTGCTTGTCGCTGGCTCATTTGCGGAAGCTCGTCATATTTTTTAAGAACATCTAATTTTTCTTCTACACTCAAATCACGTCGTTTGTTCATTGTAACACGAAAAATGAAAATTTTTACAGAGAACGTAAACACAAACAACACACTGTACACGACGACGTCTATTCATACACTACCTGTCGTACTAATTGACATTNCTGTACACGACAACGTCTATTCATACACTACCTGTCGTACTAATTGACATTAAAGACTGCTTCGTTTATCGTGAAAAGGTAATTTATTTTATCTCCACGATAAAAGCAATTTTACTAGGACCGACTTATAACGTATTTATAGCACGTTTGTTCAATGTATGTACACATTATTTTTATTTATCTAATTTTCAAATGACCCTATTAACCGGTGTGTGAGTCGAATATACGAATTTTTTGCTGTGTGTTAGTATATGTGTAAATAGGGACTAGGCGTTTTGAGTCTAATAAGCGAATGAGTCAATTAACCGTGAGTCCAATAAGCGGCGTCCACTGTATATATTTTCGCGAGTGTGCGCTATGTTGTGATTATGTAATTTTTTTATATTGGCGTCGGCTAAACCTGCCTCCATATTCGTTAGCCCTTCGGGGCTGGTAATGTATAGTTTATTATATAATGTTTTGAGCCAGTTATTTTTTAGTGCGCCGTGCCATAAGCACGTGTGGCGAATTTTTTTTATATTTTTTTATATAGTTTTTTTTGCAGGTGTCCCTATATTTTTTTATTTAGGTCCCTCAACATGGCAGGCGTGTTCCAATACCAGCTGTCATGTTATATATATTTTTTATAGGTTTTATAATATATTTTATTGGGTGATGAACATATTATTGGTACAATGTGGTGACGTAGTGCATTTTATTCCGGGGTGTCCCAACGTCTTGTAAGCTAAGCCTAACTGCCAAAAACCAGTCGCTTACTTGGGACGTATACCCGCCGTG